TAGCCAAACTTTGGGCAGAGTGCAGGGAATCTTTTGAAAGAAGGGGGAGATAGGAAGACCTGGAGGGGACAGGAGCTCCATTAAGGAGAGCAATAGATTCCAAATACCTGGGCACAGGGGTCTTTTCTGAGACTGATACTCCAACCAAGGACCATGCATGGAGATAACCTAGAACTCCTGCACAGATATAGCCCATGGCAGCTCAGTTTCCAAGTGGGTACCCTAGTAAGGGGAGCAGGGACTGTCTCTGACAGGAACTCAGTGGCTGGCTCTTTGATCACCTCCTCCTCAAGGGGGAGCAGCCTTACCAGGCCACAGAGGAAGACAATGCAACCAGTCCTAATGAGGCTAGGGTCAGAGGGAAGGGGAGGAGGACCTCCTCTATCAATGGACTTGGAGAGGGGCATGGGAGGAGATGATGGGAAGGTGGAATTGGGAGGGATTGAGGGAGGGGCTACAGCTGGGAAACAAAGTGAATAAACAGTAATTAATATAGTTTTTTTTTAAATCTTCCTCCTCATTTTGTCAGACCAGGTCTCTTATTGAACCTAAGAACTCCTGGCTCCAGCCCCTCCTTTTCCCCCATCCCTACCCCCACCCCCACCTCCACCCTCACCCCACCAAGGCTGGTGTTACAAACTATTATGCCCAGATCTTCAGGTCATCAGGAGACCACCAGGAGCCAGACCATGTATGTAAGAACAAAGAGCTTTCTTGGGGCCTAAGCTTGGTCTTTCCATTGTCACCAACACAGTGAATCAGAGAGGAGAGCACCAATGTTATTTGACAACAGTGGGCCTTCCAACCTATTTATTTTACTTTCCCCAGGTCACAGAATTAGCCATCCCAAGGTAGCTCCATTTTCCTAGAGGTGAGAATTAGTAAAGACCAAATTCCAGCTCCCCTGGATGCACAGGACAGTGACTATGAACAGGATTCTACTTCTGCTTTTTAGATGACTGTAAGTAATTTCAGAACTCAAAATACTTTAACAAATTGATAACACTTTTTTTTAATTGTTTTTGAAACACATTACCCTTGCATAGCCCAAGCTGACCCGAAACTTACTATTTAGCCAAGGCTGGTCTGCAACTCCTGGTCCTCTTGCCTCCGCTCTCCTGATTACAAGGGTTACAAGTACATATCATTACATTCCAGTTAGGATTTTGCTGCCATTGTTCATCTTACATTGGCTATAGCTCACTAGGTAGATGGGGACAAGCACATACTCCTTTTCACTCTCAAGTATTCGGAAAGCTGTGAGAATTAACACAATGGCATACACTTAGAGGCTTTAAAGTGCATAAGTTAGGCAAGGTATGAAGGCATCCCTGGAATCCCAGTCCTTAAGAGGCTGAGTCAGAAGGGCTGCTGTAACCCAGAGGTCAGCCTGTTCTCCACAGTATGTGCCAGACTAGCCAAGGCCAAATTGGGACCGGGACCCTGTCCCAAAAACAAAAAAAAAAAAAAAAAAAAAAAACCCGACAAATACAAGTGTTTGTCTGGGAGATTGTTCAGTCAGTATGGTGCTTGTTGGGATCAGTAAGCAGGCACCTCTACGGCTAGACCCAAGGTACCTGACAAACCGGTTATCAAGCATTTGTGAAGACACCCAGACCACCTGCTGACCACCTGGAACTACCTGCGCATGCCCTGGGTCACCGTAAAAGAGAACTCCTGGAGCTCTCTTTCTCTTCTTCCTCTTCTCTCTCTTTCTCTCCTCTCTCTCTCTCTTTCTCTCTCTCTCTCTCTCTCTCTCTCTGCAACCTCCCTTCCCCTAATAAACCTCCCACGTGGAACCGCGTGGAACCTTCACAGGCACACAGGCTCACGTTTCCCAACATTCGTACGTTTCCTAACAGTGCTTGCCTTGTAAGCATGAGGACCTTGGTTCAATTCCCAGAATCCATGTAGAAAAACCATGTATGGTGGTGTGGCCTTGTAATCTTAGTTCTGGGGAGTGGAGACAGCTGGAGCTTGCTGGCCAGCCAGCCTGGCATATGTGGTAAGCTTCAAGCCAGTTAAGAGACCCTTTCCAAAACAAGGTGGATGGCTCCTGAGGAAGGACACCCAAAGTTGACCCCCGATTAGCCCATGAATGCTCACACATGAACATGCATCACACATGCTGAACACACAAAAGTAGCGAGTAAATGATCCTGTAAAGTCTTTTAGACCACTCTTTATGTTTGGTGACAGCTTTAATGCCTTGGCATGGCTGAGCCACTGGAAAGCAAGCGCTTGCTATCATCAGTGTGTCTTGGCATGGGGACAACCTTGTTTTTAACTTGGGGTTTTTTCATAATAAACCAGTGATTAAACATTGCTCACTTTTTGACTGTTCAGTGCCTGCTGACACATACAGAGGCCGGGTACTATTCCCCAACTGGGAATGAAATGAATTAGCTTTTAATCACCTTGCCCACCTTCAGTAATCTCATACACAAAAGCGAAGTGCCAGGCATGTCTCAGTTAGGTCCTTGTTGACTTACAAAAGGGTCAACCCTCAGAGGCTGCTGAAGTAAAACTGACCTTGCTGTAAGCCCCTTGTGAAGGATGAAGAAATAAAATCTAACAGCTTGGTCCTTCAGCTGAAAGGACCAGACATCAGCTCTTCCCTCGGCAGCTCCCTGGGCCTCTGGGTTCTTGTCACTGCTTCTCAGTGTGTGAGCTTGTTTCCTGCCTAGGGCCATAGCTCTACTCTGTGTTGAAGTCTAGTGTACTCCAGGGCCTCTGTAGCTTTTGATATGCTTTGGGGCCTGCTTCCAAATATCAATTTGTTTCCCCTTTCCAGATGAGCACCTACCTTCATCTCACTGATTCCGATCTGCTTTCTGCTGCTTCTTTCAGGTTCTTGATTCCCAAAGGAGGAAAGTGTAAATGAGACAAGTCACAAACAAGCAGGAGAGGCTGCTGTAGAAACGAACTGGCCAGCCTCCTGCATCCTTATCACCTGGTGGGTTTAAGGCTGTAGGTACTATAACAAAGTCTCCAACCTTGTGATACAGGGACTGGCTGGAGGCAGTGGGTTTCTGAGCGCACTTGAGTCATCTTTTCCTAGGAACCTTGTAAGCTACCTGACAACAGTTAGGCAATTTCCGAACACATGAGCCACTGCTTGACAGTGCTGAGGTGCAGATGCGGCTGCAGAACACAGCGTTAGCTGGCTACTGTGCTGCTGGAGTGGCAGCTTCATTCGCCCCTGTATATGTTGATATGCATAGCTGCTAGAAACACTTAGGTGACAGCCAAACCGGTGCGAGTACGAGGAGCGTGTTAAAATATCTTTTATGTGTTCCCAGATTTTTTAACTAAATGTGCAGTTGCCAACAAAGTAGTGGTTAGATCCACTTTGAGGAGATGGGAATCACCTAAATTCTAGGGCTGCTTCAATCCTTAGAGTGATAAAGCTTAACCTCTAAAACAGTTGAGGGTTCTGGCATATCTGAGACTTGCTTTGCCATCTCTAAAGGAACTCAGTGTAAATTGGGGTTAAGAGGATTAGTCAGCTAAAAGACCCAGCAGGAGTCATGTAGCCTTCATTGGCGCCAGCCAACCCCCTGGCAAAGTCACCTAGCAGGATGACCCTAGACTCCAGAAGAGCCTGTGCTGGGTAGACCAGAATCAATCAGCTATAAATATGACCGTATATATCCAGAGAAATCTAAAAAACTGTACTCAAGGTGGTCAGCCACCTAGCCTGACCAATCAGCTCATGCCTTGTGTAGCTTTTCCTTAGCACCCCCATTCAAAGAAGAGATGAGCTTATCGCTCCCTGGTTCCCTTTTAAAAACCCCATACACCTCTGTCTTGGGTCACCATTTTGCCTGAATGGTTGACAGCCCCCCCCCCCCCCCCCCCACATGCTGGATCTTGCTGCAGAATAAACACTCTTCAAGTCTGGGGTCTTCTTCAGTGATTCTTTTACAGGGGACCTCTTACAGGGGCGTTACACAGCAGGTCCCTGGAAAGGCCACTGCCCCTGTCAAGCTAGCCATCAGTAGCATCTGACTTCCACACATTTGTATGTAAATGGAGTGCTGTCTGACAGACTGCTCAGTACTTTTACCCCAGGAAGGCCACAGAAACAATAAACTTGTATTCATTGCAATTACACATGTGTATATAATAGTTTTCTCCCAAAATGATCATTCGTTGACTAACAGAGCAAAACTAAACACTTTGAGCCAAAATTAAATTCAAGTGAAAATTTTCTAGCCTTATATTAAATGTTCATTTTCTCAAGTGAAACTTTACTTATTTTATTTGTACTGATCATCATACTGCCAGTACATAAGTTTTCAAGGCATATTTATTACCTGGCTTCATTTGGTCTTCACAATAACCAGTGCTATTCATATTTCAGATAATATCCTATTTTATAAATGGGGAAAAATGCATTTAAGTGAGGGGTTTTGTTTTTGTTTTTTTACAAAAATAAACATATTTTGTTTGCACACAGATTAAGGTCTGTAATAACACCTGCTTCCTGACTCCTTCCCTGGCTTCTTCTTTTTCAGCCTCACTTCTTATTCATTAAAATTAG